CGCATCATGCTTCCAAACCAACCGATCGTCTCTTAATGGAAAAAGAGAAATAGAAGAGAGAGCATTCAAAATCAGATCGATGACAGCTTTTTCCCAAGCATATATATCACGTCTAAAGTTAATTGACCATTATCCATTCTGTCGAGCGTTGAGAACATTCAGCCAAAGAAAAGAGTCGAGGGAATTTAACAGAGAGTGGTTCATCCTTGATCCATTTGTCCAACCAGAAAAAATTTGTTGCTCCGTTTCCCACTATCCAATGACAGGCATGGAGGCCAATGAGGTTATGAATCTCCTCCGAGGATGTGAGTTGCACAATACTCTTCCATACAGAAGACATTCTCGCTGTGTGAGATTTTGAGGGTGTCCAATGCCTTGTGCCTATCCCATATTTCTCCACTACCAATCTCCTCCATAGTGCTTTCTCATCCGTACCATATTGCCACCACCATTGCGAGAAAGCTAGATTCTTGTGAGAAAGACTAGTGATTCCTAGTCCTCCATACCGCTTTGGCCTGCAAACAATACTCCACTTAACCTTGGAGATTTTGCATTTATCTGAGGATCCACCCCACAAAAAGATCATCTCAAATGCTCCAATTTACGAAGAACACCTTTGGGCGCTTCAAAAATGGAAAAATAGAAGAGAGGAGTGAGTTAAGAACTGAGTTAATGAGAGTGATCCTGCCTCCGAGAGATAAGTACTTCCTTTGCCAAAGAGCAAGCTTCTTTTTGAAATTATTGATGACTGGGTCCCAAGTGGAAATTCTCCTAGGGCTAGCACCAAAAGGAATACCAAGGTAATTAAAAGGAAGGGGTCCAAGTTTGCATTGCAACAAAGAGGCAAACTCATTGCCCAAAAATCAGGAATGTCAACTGGAAAAGCAGAAGATTTCTGAAAATTGATACGAAGTCCAGAAGAAAGCTCGAAACAATGAAGGATCCGTTTAAGGTTTCGTGCTCCTTAAGTTTCTAGGTGCATAAAAATGATGGTGTCATCTGCGTATTGGAGATGTGAGAGTGAGAAGCCAGATGATGAAAGAGTGATGCCACGAAATAAGCCAATAAATTCTACCTTTTCAAGAGAGAGATGAAGGGTTTCCACAGCCATGATGAACAAAAATGAAGAGAGTGGATCTCCCTAGCGCAGTCCTCGCTTCATGGGAAACTCAGGGGTGGCTGAGCCGTTGACTAACACAAAAAGCCAA